ATATCTTGATCCTGAGTACTGCTGATGCTTGGAACTTACACAATAATCCGACGTTTTCTCTTTTGGGGTGGTACTTCTTGAAGTGCTTTGTGCAAGACCTGTCATCAACAACTTGCTTCCACATGAGCAAATCAGCTTAGCTGAATGGGGGATTTCCAGGCAAAAGCAAGGACAGTTAGAGAAAATCGTGGATCCTTTGCTTGTGGGGAAAATTAATCCTAACTCGCTAAGGAAATTTGGGGATACAGTTGAGAGGTGTTTGCAAGAATGCGGGGTCGATAGGCCTAATATGGTCGACGTGTTGTGGGACTTAGAATATGCTTTACGACTTCAACACACTGCAATGCCTCGAGAACCATATGAAGACAGCACCACGGATGTTACTTGGGAGTTGCCCGTGCCTGTTGTTGAACGACTACCTTCTCAAAGCATACCGTTTAGCGACGATGAACAATCTTTGTTTCTTTAGCTTCGTAGGGTAAGTGCTTATTTCTTATTTTCTAGTACCGTCGTCTCTTTTTGCATCTTCAACTGTAAAATAAAAGGATGTTTTTTTGAGTCCATTTAGAACTTCAAATTGATTTTATCAAACACTAGTTACAAAATTGAAATGTTCTGACTACAACGTTACTATCTTACATTGCGAAAAAACAATTAATTGTCATTATATGTTTTCTTGAAAAAGAAAAAAAAATGAAAATTGGTGGCCAACTAATGGTTCTTGAGTTAGTTCAGCTTAACCCCACCAACGAGCAAGTAGGTGGATGAATTTGAAGTCAATAATCAAATTGAAGCAAAGAATATAAAGATAATAATAATAATCAACTTAAAACTATACAAAAAAGTTCAACGGCGAATAGTATTTCTAAATTTATTATCTTCTATATATTAAAATCAGTGTATCATTTAGATTTTTCTTTATTACTTAATTTACATGTTTTGAGGATTGTACTGTTCTTGTCTTCTTGATCAGTTGCTTGAGTGAAGTTCATGTTATGCTATGGGTTCTATTGAAGTTCATAGTTTTCTTGTTA